CCTCGCGCTCCCCTGCAGTGCCCCGAGCCCTCCCTGTACCGCCCCCGAAAGCGAAGCCCGCGCCCTGCGCGGACACCCAACCGATTCTGACTCCGACCCCAGGGCCTAGGCGGCCCGCCATGAAATCTAGCCGTGTGTGCTGGCGTCCGGGTCCCAGCGGGTTTTCACGTAACAAGTACACACAAGGGCTCCAGCCCTGTCTCGCGCACGCGTCCCTGGCGGGCGCCGCGGACCAGTTCCAAGGGCTCAAGTATGGCAGAGCGTCTAGTGTCGGATGCTCCTACTAAGGGCGTAGTCTACGCTCTTACTCCTACCATCAACTCCGTGCCGGTCCACACAGTCCGCAAGCCTGGGCGCGGCCGCTGCCTCATCGCGGCGGAGGGCGTGAGCGCCGGAGCGACAGTCCTCGAGGAGATGCCGCTGATCGCGCTGCCGCTTCCTGACTCGACAGAGCACGCCTTGCTCTGCGACGTGTGCCTGCGCGACATCGGCAGTCCTGCCGAGCACATACAGCACGCCGCGGAGCTCGACAGCCCGCCCGTTCTGCCCATCGATGGCGATCCCGACTTCGACTGCCGGCGCGTTGAGTGCAGCCGCGGGTGCGACGCGCAGTTCTGCAGCCGGGAATGCGAGGCCCTCGCCCAGGCCACCTTCCACGGCCCGCTCTGTCCAGGCGCGGAGCCGCAGGCGCCTCACGCCGAGGCAGTCGAGGCCTTTCTGGACCACGCACACGGCACGGACGAGGCCTTCCTGCTCGGCGGCCGGCTCGTGGCGCTGGTGCTCGCCACGGCCCGCCGCGAGGACTGCTCCGCCGCGCAAGCTTCCCTCGCGCTCGGTGACTTTTGCCGCGTGCCATACTGGGAGCTGCCCAAAGGGGCCGAGGCGCGCGCTGCGTGCCGCGACGAGTGCGCGACGAGCCTGCGGCTGCTCCGCCGCGCCCTTGATGGCAGCAAGCCTGCCCGTAGCGCTGCGAGGCGGAGAGGCGGCACCTCGCCCGCCTCCTTCGCCTCCGCCGCCTCAGCCTCCTTCGCCTCCGCCGCCTCAGCCTCCGCCGCCGCCGCGGCCTGCTCCGGAGGAGCAGACGGCTGGCCCTCCTTGGACGAGTGGGGCGGCCTGCTCGGGCTGCTGCGGCAGAATGCCTTGTGCGCCGAGGTGGCAGCGCCGCTCGCGGGCCTGCTGCCGCTGCTGGCCGCGTGGTGCGCCACACACGCCAGGGGAGGGCATGCGAAGAAGCGGCCGCGAAAAGGCGCCGGGCCGGAGGACAAAGAGGCGGGGCTGCTTGCCGAGGCGCTCGACGCACTGCCAGAGGCGGCGGGCGAGGCGGTGCGGGCGAGTGCTCTCTACCCCACCGTGGCGTGCGCCAACCACTCCTGCGCTCCCAACGCAGAGGCGCGCTTCGTGCACGGCACGACGCGCCTGCGACTCGTCGCGCTGCGCAACATCGCGGCGGAAGAGGAGATCACGATCTCGTACATTGATGAGAATGAGACGGGGAGCCGCATGGAGCGCCGCGAGGCTCTGCGCGACTACCGCTTCGTCTGCGACTGCAGCCTTTGCCTGCGTCCGCCGTCGCGAGGGAAGTGATGGAGCAGCGCTCAGTGTCACGTTGGCGGGGGAGCACGGCGGAGGGGGGCAGAGTAAGGAGAGAGAGAGAGAGAGATAGGCGCAGGGAGAAAAAAGAAAGAAAACAGCGGCGCGGCACTAGGTCTAGGAAATTTCCCCTCGTGCGAGCCTCCGCGGATTTTTTTGGTGTTCGGTGCATAGAGAAGTTTCTCCGAGACCTCGCGAGCGGGCAGTTATTCACAGCTGGGCAGTGAGGCAGGGCAGTGTGGGTTTCACACCCGGGGCAGGTAGGGGATCGGCCGCTGTGTGCGGCAGGGCAGGACCACAAGCAGACAAGCAGAGGCATATACCGCCTGACGCCGATGCCACACCGCGTGTTTGTCTACGGCTCGCTGCTACGTGGGCTGCACAACCACCACTGGATATCGAAAAACAGCCGGCTGCTCGGCGCAGCGCTGAGTCGTGAGCGCTATGTGATCGTCGACTCGGGCGACGGATACCCATATGCCCTCGACGCCGAGTGGGCTCGGCCTGGGATCGACACACCCGCGCCGCTGCATGGCGAGCTCTACGAAGTCGGAGACGGGACGCTTGATGATCTCGATGCGCTCGAAGGCCATCCCGACTACTACCGCAGGCGCATAGCGGCCTTCTTGATCGGCTCGGACGAGGCCGAGGCCGCCCTATACGTCCTTCGAGACGCGTCGCGGCTGGACGAGCTTCGTGCCGACTCGGGCGGCCAACGCTTCGCAGCCGTGGCGCCAGCCGGAGACTGGCGCACGCACCTGCTCCGGCGGCTGCCGCCGCTGACGTGGCCACCGACTCGCCGCACGCTGAGCGGAGGCCCGCACGCGGTCTTTTGCTACGGCGGCGTCGGTCCCGCGGCGCTGCGCGAACACTGCGAGGCTCCGCACCTCTCCTCCTCCGCCGCCGCCCTCCGCGGCGCCGTCCGCATCTACGGAGGGCACAGCGTTGCGTGGGGCGGCGCGGTCGCGTCCTTGGCCCCGCGTGCCGGGGGCTGTGTGTGGGGCAGCCTCGCCTCCCTGACGGACGACGCGCTCCGCCGCCTCGACGCCATCGAGGGCGCCGACCCTGCCGACCCGTATGGCGGAGGCGGCGCCGCACGCAGGCAGGACGTCGGCTCCGTCTGGGTGGACGGAGAGAGGGTGGACGCGGTTCTCTACCTCCGCCGCGACGTGGCGTGGCGGGGGCCGCCCAGCGACCGATACATTGCTGCCTGCGAGGCGCATGTTGCCGACGTGTGGGACGAGGAGCTCGCGGCGGCGGTGGGGTTGGAGGTGCTGGACGAGGCGGGTGAGCTGAGGACGCAGGATTGACCTCGAGCTGAGAGCGTGAGAGGTGTCGGGTGTGAGAGAGGGCGGCGCGAATGGGCCCGAGCGGCTCACTCTGGCGCGTTTGCCGGGTCGTGTGGTGCCGTCCGTGCACACGCGTACACAGTGACAGGCCCCCGTACCAACTGCACGCTGTGTGCGTTACGTACGAACTCTACGATCATCATAATCGGCCGCGTTTTGTGCTACACACACACACGCCCCCAGTGCCCAGACACACGGCGTGACGCACGGATCACGGTCGCCGGGCTTGGATCCTACATGACGCGCTCGAGGGCTGCACGAAGGGGCCAGTGCGGGGCCCTCACACACGAAGCTGCGCGGCAACGAGCTCGCCGCGACACTCTGGCGTCAACACGACGATGGGCACACGTCGCCCCGCGCGCAGCCGGATCTGCAAGCGCAATGTGGGTTCGTCAGGCCTGCACGCCTGCTTAGGGCAAGGCGGCGACAGGCAATCTCGAGTACTGTGCACGGCATCTAGAGGGGACTCACCGACTCCTGCGCTGCACGCGCGACGGTCAGCGCATCCTCGTCAAAGGCGAAAGCATCTGCGGTCGGGCCAGCGTCAAGGGCTCGCAGCCCGCTCTCCCCGCAGTCTACTTGTCTGCAATCTACCGCCGCAAACCTCCTGACCATTTGTTGTAGAGGAGGACTGCGAGGATATCGTGCGCCGTGAAGCGAACATGGACTTGCGTGTGCCCGCAGTCGTACTCTTCCGACAGCAGGCAAGCCGTGCCTTCGCAGTCGCGGGGAGCGGTGCAGTGGCACGGCCGTGAGCCGATCCTCACCGGAGAGTCGTCGGCGCACGCCTCCGTGCGCCATTTGGAAAAGGAGTGGCGCAGCTGTGCAACCTATGGTGAGAGCTCGGCGGTGCTCCCCGCCACGGTGAGCGCTAGGGCGTGGGCAGTTTGGGGCTCGCCTGCTCCCAATCGTTATTCGCGCATCGGCTGGCGTTTGGCGCGATGTGCAGGTACCTGTTCAGCGTGTCCCACACCTTGACCCTCGTGGTGCCGCTGTGGTAGAGGGCGGGGCATTCGCCGCTGCAGCAGCGTCCCAACACTGCCGCGAGTTCTTTGAGGCGTGCAGCAGGGTCTTCGTGGCAAGTGGAGATGACTGGATCAGGCCATGAGGCTGCGCCGAGGAGGTCCCATGCCGCAGCGGGGCTCCTGAGGCGGCAGGTGCGCGTCAGTGGCGAGAGAGCGCGCGCGTCCTAGCCACCGTGCAGCTCGCTCCTCGAGGCGGAGGATCCCAAAGCGAGGCCGACGCTATGCGCGCCCTTGGGCAGCATGCGTGGTAGATCATGACGCAGCCAAGAGGCAGCGAGTGCGGCGCCTTGTGCATAAGAGGGCGGCGCGTGGTGAGGGGGTGGCCAAGGGCGATAGAAGTGGGCCAATCGATCACCTCGCGAGTCGGTGTACGTGTCCGGGCTAGCGGTCGCACTGCCGTCACACTCGTAGTCCGCCGCGGTGGCCGTCTCCTTCCACTTGCCGCACTCGAGCATGCGCACCACCACTCCTGCAGAGCTGCGGAAGAGCCGCTCGAGCTCGGGGGCAGCCGCCTCGCCCGTCAGTGGCGCGAAGACGGGCAGGGGTGGCGGGGGCGCTGACGGAGGGGGGCGGCTTGGTGGCATCCAAGGCGGCGTTGGCGCCGCCGGCGTCGGGGGCGGCGATCGTGGCGCGTGCGCGTGCGAGGCTCGCCCTGCCACCCGGTGGATGCCTCCCGGACCGTGCAGCACCGCTGCAATTACCACGACGAGGACCAGGGAGAAGGTTGAGGCCACGGCGAAGAATCTGGGCGAGCACAGGAGCTGCAACAGCCTTGGTCGAGTCGGATAACTGCCCGGAGCGCCCCCCTCCCCCTCGTCAAGCTTTTGCCAGCCGCTCCGCTGGCTGCCTCTGCCCGCGGAGGAGGGCCGCGTCTCCGCGCCAGCTGCAGCCGCGGGCCCGGCAGGCTGTGGCTCTGCCACGCCCTGGCTTCCTGATCCTGCCGTGCACACCGCAAAGCCCTGGGCTTTCTCACCCGGTTCCTCAAGCATCACTGCCTCCGCCGCAACAGATGGCTCCGCCACCGCTACTGGATTTGCCGATTGAGCGGCCGCCACCAAGCTCGACACGAGACCTTTTGCCGCCTCCCGGTGGTCTTCCTTTCCCACGCCCTCATCCGGTGAGCCCTTCTCGCCGGCGTCGGGAGCAGCAGCCGTGTCAGCAAGAGTTCCAGAGGTGACGCACGGTCGCTGGAGCTCCACCACAGAAGCATTCCCTTGGACAATCCGGTCCGTCATGGCTTGCCCGAGCAGGCCGAGCTGCTGAAGCTTCTCCATCACACTTACAGGCTGCTCATTTGGTCCCGGACGCTGCGTCGCGGGCTCGCCTTGCATTGTGCCGCCAATGCGAACGCGGGGCCGAATCGCACGGCGGGCGCTCGCTCCGCCCAGGGAAAAAATGAGAAAAAGATTCTTACGGTAGTTAGGTCGGGAGTCCACCGTGCTGCGAACCTGTCGCTGTCCCTTTTGTCAGTAGCAGGAGAACTAGGAGAGCGCAACCAGTAGGAGGCCCGCGCCTGCCCCCGTGCCGCCGGGTGCAACCCGTCCTATACGAGAGAGGAATCCCTGGGTGCTGGGACCCTGTCGTGTGGGTGAACCCTGCCCAGCCCCCCTCCGTGTCGCGATGCGCTCCCCGCTCCCGTTCCCCTGTGTCCCTGATCGTCCTTACAAGATCCTGCTCGCGCAGGTGGGGACCCTGTCCTTCTCCCACCCCTTGTTTGGTGTGTCCGTTTTATTTATTTGCTAAATAAAAAGTGTAAACCCTGGATAAATTTTGCACGACCCCATGGGTCAAATAGGTAGCGCCGTCGCCACTTGCCGCGCACGCCCTCCTCTCAGCCTCCGTGCGCAAGTGGCGACACGCACGCGCCACTTGTATACACAACGGCTGCCTGCCCGCCGCACGGCCGCGCAGAGGCGAAAAAAATTTGAGGCTGCAACCCTAATGATCACGGCCGACTTAGCCCGCATAAGAGGCTCGAGCCGATCTTAGACCGCGTAAGCACCCCAGCGTGACCGGTCACACTTAGACCTGTTAAGCCTCGAGGCTCAGAACTTAGCCTACTCGTACCCAACCAGTTTTGCGATACGGGGTGTGGACCCTGAGTTGACCAGGGGTTGTGCGCTGGGCCCTCCTGCTCGGCTCCAGCCAGTAGACAAGTCTTGTCATCAACAGAGAGTAGAAGGATCTGACCTCGGGGCCGATGTGACCAAGCGCTGGTAGCGTGGTTTAACCTCACACCCATGGTCTCACAGTGTGCCGGCAGTCGCCGAGCAGTGTCGCTCACACAAGCCGCACTGCCGCAGCACAAGTGACTGAGGGCCAGTGTGAGGGCGAGCCCATCGCTGTCACAGCTGTGGCAGCCGCACAGTAGGCTGTGCTGAGGGAGGGTGTAGAGGATGTAGAGTGTAGAGCGCTGTAGAGATGTAGAGATGTGGAGCGCTCTGGAGCGCTGTAGAGCTGTAGAGCTCTACATCCGGCGCGTGACGATGTGAGTCCGATGTAGAGCGATGTAGAGCGCGATTTTGCTGTAGAGTTTGTTGTAGAGCGTAGAGGCTCTACAGCCAAACCGCTGGGAAGGCAGTGACTCAAAGAGGTCGAGCCGCACTAATGGGGTGTCTCCTAGCTTACTGGAGCTCTGATGGACGGCCCTGACTATCCCTGACACACAGAGAGTCACTCTGACGGCACACAACACCCTATAACTGCGTCATGACCAGCCTGCCATGCGTCGCCGGTGCCGCATTCGTCGCAGTGCTTCTTTAGCAGGCGGTGGACTGTCGGCTGCGAGGACGGTCGCATTTGCGCGAGGCGAGGCGAGCATTGTTGAGCGTTGCATGCGCCATGACTCGCGCCAGCGCGTGCGGGAGCTCCTGGCTGAGCGTTGAGTCCAAGCGAGTTGCGCTGGCCACGATCGCTACGCCGAGCCGAGCTGACGCGCCGAGGCGCCGGCCAGTCGCAGCCGTGAGGCATGCCACAGCAGCAGAGGCACCTGCCACCCATTGGGCGGGCAGACAGAAGGCCAGGGCAGCACTGGCAAGTGCAACGCGCCTCATGTCGGAGAGCGACCGTGCCTCTCGTTCGCCGCTTATGGTGTAGAGTTTGTTGTAGAGATTTTACGTTGTATATATCTCTCACGTTGTAGAGCGCCTCTACATCGCTCTACATCGGACTCACATCGTCACGCGCCGGATGTAGAGCTCTACAGCTCTACAGCGCTCTCCAGCTCTACCGAGCTCTACAGCGCTCTACACTCTACATCCTCTACACCCTCCCTCAGAGGCTGTGTCAACTGTGCACAGAGTGTGTGAGCAGCAGAGGAGCTGCTCTCCAGGCTTCAGGCGCAAAGAGATGCGTGCCACCGAAGGCGCTGTCGATCGAGCTCTATGCGTGCCACCGAAGGCGCTGTCGAGTGACCTCCGCGGGCCGGGGAGAGGCTAGTCGTCGAAGGATGCGTCTTGCGCCGGCGCTACGGGACCGGCGCGCACAGCAGCATGACCCCCGTATACGTGTACAAAACTTGTTCGATTTGTCTGTCCACACCCAGAAAGAACGTCGATGGGAGAAAACGCGATATTGGATATGGCGCGGCACGGTGTGTGCTTGTGTGCCACACGCCTCGCGCAATACAGTAAAGGGTGTGTGGACCCGTGAGTTCTGAGGAAATCGGATACCAAATCGGAGGACGCGACCCACTTCGCCACAGACGGTCCCGCGCCTCGCCGCTATGACAGTGGCACGCGCCGCTGCGCGGCGCGTGCCACTGTCTTTGCTCTGGGCCGGCGCGGGGGCCCCAGAGGGTGTCCATGCGGGGGGGAGATGGGGTCCCATGGCCCGCCGAAGGCGCCGTGAACAAAAATCCCCCAAAATCACGAAAAAATCGGGGCGTGCCCAATAGAGGTCTGCCCATGTGGGCTGGCCTCTTCCTTGCTGCACCAGTACGTTCCTGAGCTGCCTGCATTGCAATCGACATTGCGGCGGCATGCGGCGGCATTGTGACGGAACGTCTGGGTGCGGCGGAACGTCGGCTCGAAAGGCCCATCGCCGACGATATGATGCGCCTGCCCCACTGGCGTGGGATCAGGGCGAGATGTCATCACGCGAGATTGCGCACGACTCGGACGATGGGGTTGAGCAAGCAGCCCGAAGCTGCGAGCCGACGGCAATGCGTGCTTTCGGCGTTTCGGCGATTTGGATGGATCGCACGTTTTGTTATGCTTGCTGTCCCCCTCTCCTCACGTTGAAGGATAACCTACATTGTACATAGCCGCTCGCGCTGCGCGGCTATCTCCGAAGAGCCGTATCCAATATCGCGTTTTCTCCCATCGACGTTCTTTCTGGGTGTGGACAGACAAATCGAACAAGTTTTGTACACGTATACGGGGGTCATGCTGCTGTGCGCGCCGGTCCCGTAGCGCCGGCGCAAGACGCATCCTTCGACGACTAGCCTCTCCCCGGCCCGCGGAGGTCACTCGCCTGGCCTGCCCGAGTAGAACTCCGCCCCATGCTCCTGCCGCTCGTCGCCCCCCCGCTGGCTCACCCGCACGTCCGGGTCGTCCTCGTCCTCGTCCTCCTCGTCGGCGGCGGCGGGCGGCGGCGCGGCAGGCATCGTCACGTTCGGCGCCGGCTGCAGCTGCCGCAAGTGCTCGAAGACCTTGGACTTGATCTTCTCGAGGTTCTCGGGGATGTTGAGGTTCTCCATGCCCGAGGGCGCGTAGTGCAGCTTGTAGTCCGGCCCATAGTACTCGTAGTAGTCGTTGTACGGGAGGTCGTCCGAGATCTCCTCATTCAGCACCACGGCAGACTCGTACGTCCAGCAGCGCGACACGTTGCGGATCGTGTAGCCGCCGCCGCCCAGGATGAGCGTGGGCACCTTCTGCTGCAGCACAAAGCGCACGCACTCGGCGTGCCCCCGGATGGTCAAGTTGAAGCAGCCGAGCCGGTCGCCGCAGAGCGAGTCGGCGCCGCACTGCAGCACGATAGCGCCGGGCTGGTACATCTGCATGATCTGCCCGATCACGGGCTTGAAGATGGAGGCGTACGAGGCGTCGTCGATGCCGTCCTGCAGGGGAAGGGGCGAGGGCGGCGAGCGCTTGGGCGGAGAGGGTGCCGGGCGCGCGCCGCGGCTTGCCAGCAGAGGCCGCAGCTTGCTAGCAGGGAGGGAAAGCGTCACGCGGCGGGTAGACGCGGGCGGGCGGATGTGCCCGGGGGAGGGGGGGGGGGGGGGGCTCCCGGCGCGCCTTGAGCGGAAAGTTGACCGAGTAGTACTTCCCCGCGTGTGCTCCGACGTCCTTGACGTCGCCCGTGCCGGGAAAGTACTCCCCAAACTTGTGAAAAGAGAAGGGTCACCCCCGGTCCCTCTTGTAAAAAGCCCTCCCGCCCCGGAAGGGAAATTCTACCCCCGGCCCCCAAAAAAAACAAAACAAAGGGCGGCCAGGGAGAGGGTCCCTTTTGGGCCAGGGGGCCTAGGGAAATTTTCCTCAAGCCCAAAAAAGGACTCCCCCGGGGAAAAAGGGGGTCCACTCTTCCTGCTGGGGAAAAGGGGAAGGGGAAAAAGGGGGG